GTATATTGAAAGATATAAAGTAAATGATAAAACATAGGGTAAAATGTTAAATGTTAAAGTAGGTGAATATAAAAAAAGGGTACTGGGTTTTTTGGACACCATTTATATATATTTTTATGTTTGAAATTATTTTGTTACTTATTTTGCTGCATTGGGTCTTAGTTGTGGCAGGAGGCACCCATCTTCCTTTACAATGCAGGGGCTCTCTAGTTGTGGCTTAGTTGCTCTGAAGCATGAGGGATCTTAATTCCCTCACCAGGGATGGAACTGGAGTCCCCTGCATGCTTAGGCAGATTCCTAACCACGGGACCACCAGGTAAGTCCCTGCTATTATTTTAAAATATTCTTTTATAAGAAAAAGCTCATAACAGTTTTATTTAGAGATGCATTTCTGGACATATTAAAAGCCTATGAAAATTTGAGGTCTAAATGAGATTTATTGCACTAACAGTGAGAAGATTAATTTTTACCCTACTGAATTTTGCATATTTGGAACAGCTTAGCATAACACAGAGAATGGGTCTAGCAATATTTTTCTTAAATAGAGGTGAAATTCACATGACTTGAATTAATGATTTTAAAGCATACAGTCCTACTCAGCCATAACAAAATATTGAAATAATGCCATTTGCAGTAACATAGATGGGCCTAGAGATAGTCATATTGAGTGAGGTAAGTCAGACAGAGAGATACAAATATCATATGATATTGCTTATATGTGGAATCTAAAAAAGAGTACAAATGAACTTATCTACAAAACAGAAAGAGTTACAGATGTAGAAAATAAACTTACTGGGGGTAAGAGGGGAAGGGATAAATCAGAGGATTGGGACGGACATATACACATTAGTATTAACATTTATAAAATATCTAACTAATAAGACCTGTATAATACAGGGAACTCTACTTAACCCACTTAATGGCCTATGTGATAAAAGAATTAAAAATTTAGGTATCAGTAGAAATGGTTCTTGACACAAATTGGAAAAAAAAGTATACAGTCCATTGTCATTCAGTATACTCATGATGTTGTTCAACCACTATCTAGCAATAACCTTTCTGCCTTTAAAGATATTTAACATTTTCACTTTAAAATTTGCACAAATGCTTTTTAAAAACTAAGAGTGAACAGTTAAGAAAAAACAGCAAAACAGCTCAAATTACAATCTGCTATACTTTCCTTTCTAATTAGCTCCTTATACACACGTGCAGGCACATGCATACACACACACAAGAATGCTTGAATATTTAACTATCATAGAATGCAGTTTTTCAACAGATCCTAATACGTCATTCATCGTTAGCCATCTTGGACCTAGGACTGGCTGCCAATATACAGATAAGTCGAAGCCTCTGACAGCCACTGAGCAAGATGATGACTATAAGATTTGTGTAATCGAGGAACCTGCCTGCAGTTCATTTATGCCAGTCAATTACTGAAACAAACACTACAGATTTTACTTAATTTACTCTGAATATCGATGTACCCCTAGCTCCCAGTGGAAAGTGTGGGTCATTTCCTTGGTTCAACCTTGTATGTGATCATCATCATTATTGACATTTAGTACAACCAAGTGGGCAAAGCTATGAAGAGGTAAATTCAGTTCCTACTAAACTGTTTCTTCTCTTTATCCCCTCTGTTTTCCCTGATTTGGGAATCATTGAAGCTATCTCATTTTCACCTTGCAGTTCAGTGTTGCCTTCTGGGTGTGCCTGTCTTGAGAAGACTCCACATGTGGGCCACCCTCAGTCACTGACCCTAAATCACTCAGTTCTGGGCATGTCTCTGGTTCCTGCTGAAGTTCCTCCAAGTATCTGATCAAGATTTGGTCTCTATTAGAAAACTTATTTCTCCACTTGTTGCTGGTCAAAATCTTGGCTTTCTCTACCCACCGAAGCCAAATAAAAAAATGCAGAGAGAGAGTTTGGAGGAAATAGAAAGGTGCCTTTATCCTCAGCTGGGGGAGAGGGGAACACAGTAGGATTATGCCTCAAGAACTGTGCCCCCCCCATTTCCATGAGGAGTCTTGATGGCGTTCAGTCACTAAGCCGTGTCCAACTCTTTGTGGCCCCATAGACTGCAGCATGACTGGGTTTCCTTGTCCTTCACTATCTCTTGGAGCTTGCTCAAACTCACGACATTGAGTCAGTGATGCCATCCAACCATCTCATCCTCTGTCGTCCCCTTTGCCTCCTGCCCTCCATCTTTCCCAGCATCTGGGTCTTCCAATGAGTCATCTCTTCCCATCAGGTGACCAAAGTGTTGGAGCTTTAGCTTCAGCATCATGTCCTTTCAATGAATATTCAGGGTTGAGTTCCTCTCTGTATGAGGAGTCTAGGGACTGATACAAGATGAAGACTCGAAGCCAGGGGTCGGTGATAAGGAGCAAAAGCATTAGGACCTCATATTCTTCCTTTTGCAATGTTTCAAATACAGTCATTGGCTGGCCTCCGGTAGCCTCTGACAGTCTGGTATCCCGGTAGTTAGATCCATTGTCTTTTGTTTATTGTACTGTGGTCTTCTTTCTGATTTGTAAAAAGAGAAAAGGGGTGGTCTGTGAAGAGAGTGCTGCAAAGGTGAGCACCAGCTACAGGATGTAATTAGCATTGAGTCAAAGGATGATAGTTACAAAATGGCTTAGGGGGCAGAAAAGCACACTTATTTACAGATAGGCAGAGTCAGGGGGCAGAAAAGCAAGCTTAGTTACAGACTACCGATTAGGAACTGTTAAAGTAAAAACTAGGAATGTTCAGGTCTGCTCACTGTTCTCAAGAAAGGGAAAGAAAAACTCATTCCTCTGTTTTCCTTTCCACTGCAACAGTCTCAGTAGTGGTTTAACATTGACATAAAAGCCACTGATATAGGGCTCCATAAACCCATTCTATGAAGTGGTATGAAGAGGAATTGTATTGTGTCAGAGGTTCCAGTTTTTCTTTTTTTTTTTTGAGGGTCCAGTTTTGAAAAACAAATGGTTTGACGAAAGCCCCCAGTGGTGTTAGTATCTTCTTCCAGTCTTGCTCTGGACTGAAATCCATTTGTGACATTATCACAATCTTTATTTTCTAAGGGATGGCTGCTTTTTTTTTTTAAACTTGACAGTCTAGTGTGATGCTTGGATAGTGTTATCAGCCTTCAACTGTTGGTGCTTTTTTGTTGTTCAGTCGCTCAGTCATGTCTCTTTTCGACCCTATGGACTGCAGCACACCTCGCTTCCCTGTCCTTCATCTCCTGGAGCTTGCTCAAACTCATGTCCATTGAGTTGGTGATGCCATCCAAACATCTCATCCTCTATCGTCCCCTTCTCCTCCTGCCATCCATCTTTCCCAGCATCAGGGCCTTGTCCAATGAGTCAGTCTTTGAATCAGGTGGCCAAAGTATTGGAGCTTCAGCTTCAGCATCAATCCTTAGAATGAATATTCAGGGTTGATTTCCTTTAGGATTGACTGGTTTGATCTCCCTGCTCTCCAAGGGGACTTTTAAGAGTTTTCTCCAGTTTGAAAGCATCAATTCTTCACCAGTCAGACTTCTTTATGGTCAGACTCTCATGTCATCCACCCTGTATGGTCATCCATGACTACTGAAAAAAACATAGCTTTGACTATAGGGATCTTTGTCCGCAAAGTGATGTTTCTGCTTTTTGAGAGCTGCCCAAGTAGAGAATAAGGAGAGAGCTGAGTTACTTGAATTAGGTTGCCTTTGAAGACCAGGTACTATTGGTCTTCTCTCACCACTGTTGTACTATCCTAGACTGGACACACTCCAGGTTTTTTTTTTTTTTAAACCAAATCCTGAGGAGCTGGCAATACTCTCCTCTTCCTCCTGAAAAGCAGAGACTGGCTGCCGGGAAATGGACGCAGGAGGACCTGCCATCACTTTTCACAAGGTTGTTGCTGCATCCAATTCTTCTAAACCTTTAGTGGGTAGAGGTAGCCAGGGTGTAGCCTTGGATGGTCTGGCTTCAGGGTAAGGCTATGGAGGAGAAGTAGGCTCCAAGCCTGTGTTTTGGTAAGCTTAGCATCACCTTTCCATGAAAATAATTCACTCTATCTCTATTGAACAGTTACATCTCGCATGTCTTTTATTTTATTTTTATTAGTTGGAGGCTAATTACTTTACAATATTGTAGTGGTTTTTGCCATACATTGACTCACGTCTTTTTTAACCAGAAATTTGTAGAACCACAGCTCGATTCATTTTGATTGGAAATTAGTTCTCAGACTCCAGCCAGTCAGAAGAGACGGCTAATCATATTTTGCTTTATCTACTACACATGCATGGGATTAGGATCCTTTTACTGCAAAAGCGTCATCTTCACCTACATGTGCGTTTGTGCTCAGTCGCTTCAGTCCTGTCTGACTCTGCGACCCCATGAATTGTAGCCCGCCAGGCTCCTCTGTCCATGGGATTCTCCAGGCAAGAATACTGGAGTGGGTTGCCATGCGAGGATGGAGCCCTGCGTCTCTTGTCTCCTGCATTGTCAGGCGGGTTCTTTACCACCAGCGCCAAGGCCTGGGAAGCCCTTTATTACAGGTTGAATGTAACCAGGGCCTTTTACGTTAATACTTATTTTTCAGGTACACAGTTTTGTAAATCACTTAGATTTATTACAGTGTTTAGTTTTGAAATGTAAAGACTACTTTACTTGCAAAACCTTTTTGTTTTTACGTTTCCTTGCTACTGTAATGACAGTCACTATTTACAGAAGGGTGTCTTTAAAAAGTTACTTAGGAACAAGTAAAATACAGTTACTTAGGAATAAAGCTGAGTCAATTTAAAGAAAGTATTAATTACGCCATAACACAAGTGGTTTGCTGATAAAACAAAACTAAGGACATGGTGGAGGCCGAACTTGGAAAACAGGTTGCGCAGGGATGAACGAGCCGGAGCGAGAAGGCTACGGAAGCCGGGAATGTCAAGAAATTGGGAGAAAAGATGGCCCCGCCTCCCGAAGCGCCGCGCACTGCGCAGGCGCGGCGGCGCCCTTCTGGGGCGCAGTGCTCACTACGCACGCGCGGCCGTCGGCGTGGTCCCCATGGAGCTGCTTTAGCAGACCGGGCGACGCCGCTAGCTTCCGAGATGAGCGCTGCCGAGGCCGACCGCTGGGCGTGGCTGCTGGTGCTCAGCTTCGTGTTTGGGTGCAATGTGCTCAGGATCCTCCTCCCGTCCTTCTCCTTCTTCGTAAGTGGCTCCCTGGCCCTCCAGGGACCGGTGGGGTCGCAGCTTCGGTCCTCGGCCAGCCTGCGGACATAGGCGTCTCCAGCTGGCCGCCTGAGGGCCGGATTCAGCCTGCTGAGGCGTCTCGGTTGGGCTGTTCTGTGTTCTAAGATGTTTTTGAGTGTGCTAGCATTTGAGTACGAAACCTTACCCCTAAATCTGGATTTCTGGATTCTTGGAGAGAAAAACAAACTATAATAACCTGCCCACACTTGGCCAAGTTTTCACGTGGCAGCAGCCCTAAGCCTGGAGTGCTCAGTGCCTTTCTGCCCGCCTCCCCCCTCATTTCCGTTATCCTCTGGCCCCGAAGGCGGAGAGCAGCCTTCGGGTGCTGAGGGCCAGTGCCCGCAGCTCGGCAGCCGGCAGCCGGGACTCCGGGAGGTCCCGCCTTGTCGTGTGCAGTGTATTGGTCCAGGTCCCAAGGGACGGGTCTCGGGGTGCAGGGGCCCCCATTCTTGGGGCGGGAGGGGTTGGAGACAGCACAGACAGAGAATCTCAGTAGTCTTCGTGTTGTTTCCCGTACCCAGAGGAGCCACGGCCACCTGGGAGCCCTTTGCGGGGCGTTTTGCCCATCATGAGTACAGTTCCTCGTGTTCAGTCGCCAGGACTGCTGTCGCTGTCATCCTGTCTTCCTCTGCCTCCCAGGGGAGGTGTCCGGCCCAGAGTCTAGTAGTTGTACTAAGTCATCCGGCTGGTGACTGATGGCTGCAGAGTTGATCTTTGGTTTGTGATTCTCCAAGGTCTGCCCTTCTGGAGCATGAATGTGGATGGGGTTGGGTGGCACATTTGATGGGAGGTGTGTGTGGGAAACGTAGGCAGCTGTTCCCCGGGGAAGGGCGCCCTCTGTATGCCCACAGTGGGACTGAGGAGCTGTCTGACTCAGACCCAGACCTCAAAGCGGAGGTGGGGGGGCACCACACTGTAGCAGTATCCTGGGAACTCAGCTCTGCTGTTCTCTCCTGATATAAATCTGCGGCGGCGGTGATGGTCGGGTATTTAAAGCTAGACAAGATTTCTACTTCTTTTTCTTTTACTCTACCCTGGAAAAGACCCTGATGCTGGGAAAGATTGAGGGCTGGAGGAGAAGGGGGCGACAGAGGATGAGATGGTTGGATGGCATCACCGATTCGATGGACATGAGTTTGAGCAAGCTCCAAGAGATAGTGAAGGACAGGGAAGCCTGGCGTGCTGCAGTCCAAGGGGTCGCAAAGAATCGGACACGACTGAGCGACTGAACAACAACTGGTATCCACTGAGTGCCTGTTTTATGTAAAACTCTATTCTAGGACCTTACCACCCAAATTGCCCTGTGTGTGTGCTAAGTCGCTTCAGTCGTGTCTCTTTTTGTGACCCCATGGACTGTAGCCCACCAAGCTCCTCTGTCCCTGGGATTCTCCAGGCAAGAATACTGGAGTGGTGGTGGTCATCTCCTCCTCCTCCAGGGGATCTTCCTGACCCAGGGAACGAACCTGCATCTCTTCTGTCTCTTGCTTTGGCAGGTGGGTTCTTTACCACTAGCACCACCTTGCCCTGAGGCATGGGGATTTCTGTCTTAATCCCATCCCCCGTTCAGAATTTTTCCTGATGCTGCCTTGTCTTTAAGATGATGTCCCATGTACTTAGCATTGCATAAAATACCCTCGAAGCACAGGCCCTTGTCCACTTTTCTTTCATTTGATTTTTTAAAAACTTGTGGTAAAATATGCATAGCATGAGATTGAGCACTAACTATTTTTAGGCACACAGTTCAGTGGCACTGAGTCTGTTCACATCATGTGCAGCTGTCACCACCGTCCAACTCCAGAACACCTGCAGCTTCCTAAACAGAGACTCTCTCCCCACTGAACAGGGCGAGTCAGCCCCTTGCCGCTTCCCCCAGTGCCTGGCAACCACCAGCCTACTTTCTGTCTCTCTGAGTTTGACTCTTCTAGGCACCTCGTATAAGTGAAGTCATATTTTTCTGTCTTACATTTCATGTCCTTTTCTGTCTGGTTTATTTCTTCACTCAGCATAATGTCTTTAGAGTTCATCCCTGTTGTAGCCTGTGTTTGGATTTCCTTCTTTTTTAAGGCCAAATAATATTCTGTTGTATGTGGAGTAGGAAATGGGAACCCACTCCAGTATCCCTTCATGGAAGATTTCATGGACAGAGAAGCCTGGTAGGCTATAGTCCATGGGGTCACAAAGTGTTGGACACGACAGAGCGACTGAGCATATGTAGTAACATATATACTACATTTTATTTGTTACTCATATTTTGATGGACATTTGGGTTGTTTCCACCTTTTGGCTGTTGTGAGTAATGCTGTTGGAACGTATTTGAATCTGCTTTCACTTCTCTTGGGTAAATATCCAGAAGTGGAATTGCTGGATCATACAGTAACTCTATTTTTATTTTTTTTGAGAAACTGCCATACTGTTTTCCACAGCAGCTACATCATTTAAATTCTCATCATTTCAATTTCTCCACATTCTCCATCACTTGTTATTTATTTCTTTTTGGATAATAGCCATTCTAATGGATGCTGAGTGGCTTATCTTCACTTTCCTAATGATAAGTGATGTTGAATACTATCTCATGTGTATATTGGCCATCAGTATATGGAAAATGTCTATACTGATCCCTGGCCTTTTTTTGGGCCATGCCACATGGCTTGTGGGATTTTGGTTCCCTGACTAGGGGTTGAACCTGGATCCTCAGCCCTCTCAGTGAGAGCTAGTGAGTGGAGTGCTAACTGCCGGACCATCAGAATTCCTTGTGGGCCATTTTTTAATGGGGTTTCAGGAGCTGTCCCTAGGAGAAGGGCACCCTCTGCAGGAGCACCTCCAGAGTAAGGGGCTATGTTTTCAGAGTTGAATTAGGAGGTGGCTCAGACAGGGCTTCCCTCCTAGTTTAGTCAGTAAAGAATCTGCCTGCGGTGCAGGAGACCCGGGTTCAATCCCTGGGTTGGGAAGATCCCCTGGAGAAGGAAATGGCTACTAACTCCAGTATTCTTGCCATGGGGTCACAAAGAATTGGACACAACTGAGAGACTAACATTTTCACTAGAAGTTCTTTATATAGTCTGGATATTAACTCCTTATTAAATATATGACTTGCAGGTTTTTCTCCCATTTTGTGTGTTGCCTGGCACACCTATAGAATCACCTAGATTCTCCTGACGTACCCCATTTCTTTCCACCTTGTGTTGGCTGCTGCTGCATAGTCGCTTCAGTTGTGTTCGACTCTGTGTAACCCTGTGGGCTGTAGCCTGCTAGGCTCCTCTGTCCATGGGATTCTTCAGGCAAGAATACTGGAGTGGGTTGTCATGCTCTCCTCTAGGGGATCTTCCCCACCCAGGGATCCAACCTCATATTAGACTCACACACAAAACTAATCTCAGTTGTTCAAAGAGGCTGTTGGTTTTGTATTCCTCAGTGAATTGTTCCTGGGCTTCCCAGGTGGCTCAGTGGTAAGGAATCCACCTGCAATGCAGGAGATGTGAATTTTTTAAAAATTAATTTATTTTTTAATTGAAGGATAATTGCTTTACAGAATTTTGCTGTTTGCTGTCAAACCTCAACATGAATCAGCCATAGGTATTCATATATCCCCTCTCTTTTGAAACTCCTTCCCGTCTCCCTCCCCATCCCACCCCTCTAGGTTGATACAGAGCCCCTGTTTGAGTTTCCTGAGCCATACAGCAAATTCCCATTGGCTATCTGTTTTACACATGGTAATGTAAGTTTCCGTGTTACTTTCTCCATACATCTCACCCTCTCCTCCCCTCTCCCCATGTCCATAAGTCTGTTCTCTATGTCTGTTTCTCCATTGCTGCCCTGCAAATAAATTCTTCAGTACCATTTTTCTAGATTCCGTATATATGCATTAGTATACAATGTTTATCTTTCTCTTTCTGACTTACTTCACTCCATATAATAGGCTCTAGGTTCATCCACCTCATCAGAACTGACTCAAATGCATTCCTTTTTATGGCTGAGTAATATTCCATTGTGTATATGTACCACACCTTCTTTATCCGTTCATCTGTCGGTGGACATCTAGGTTACTTCCATGTTCTAGCTATTGTAAATAGTGACGCAATGAGCAATGGGATGCGTGTGTCTTTTTCAATTTTGGTTTCCTCAGTATATGCCTAGGAGTGGGATTGCTGGGTCATATGGTGGTTTTATTACTAGTTTTTTAAGGAATGTCCATATTGTCTTCCATAGTGGCTGTATCAATTTACATTCCCACCAACAGTGCAAGAGCGCTCCCTTTTCTCCACACCCTCTCCAGCATTTATTGTTTGTAGACTTTCTGATGATGGCTGTTCTGACTCGTGTGAGGTGATTATCTCATTATAGTTTTGATTTGCATTTCTCTAATAATGAGCAATGTTGAGTATCTCTTCATGTGTTTGTTAGCCATCTGTATGTCTTCTTTGGAGAAATGTCTCTTTAGGTCTTTTTCCCACTTTTTGATTTGGTTGTTTGTCTTTCAGGAGATGCAAGTTTGATCCCTAAGTCAGGAAGGTCCACTGGAGATGGAAATTGCAACCCACCCCAGTGTTCTTGCCTGGGAAATCCCATAGACAGAGGATCCTGGCGGGCTATAGTCCATGGGGTCAAAAAAGAGTAGGACAACTTAGCGACTAAACAAACACAAAAATAACAGCTGTAAATAAGACCTGTCATCATCTCCAGCTCCTTCCTCAAGCTTATACCAAACCTAAGCCCTGCAGCTACCACATTCTCATAAGAAATTATTGCTGCAGTCTGCACATGCATGAGGCTTGGCCTTATCAGGTGGCTGTTTGTCATTCAGGTGAAAGATCTTGGGTTTGTCCTTGGACCCAGGTCATATCCTTTTGCTGCATCCTGCTGCTGTATAGCTTCTCTAATCTCAAGCCAGTTGTCGTTCAGTTGCTAAGTTGTGTCTGAGTGTTTTCAGCCCCACGAACTGCAGCACACCAGGCTTCTCTGTCCTTCACCATCTCCTGGAGTTTGCTCAAACTCTTGTCCATGAGTCGATGATGCCATCCAAGCATCTCATCCTGTGTTGCTTCCTTCTCCTGCCCTCAATCTCATCAGTCTTTTCCAGTGAGTTGGCTCTTTGCATCAGGTGGCGAAAGTATTGGAGCTTCAGCGTCAGCATCGGTCCTTCCAATGAATATTTAAGGTTGATTTCCTTTAGGATTGCAGTCCAAGGGACTGTCAAGAGTCTTCTCCAACACCACAGTTCAAAAGCATCAATTCTTTGGTGTTCAGCCTTCTTTATGGTCCAGCTCTCTTATCCTCATATGACTACTAGAAAAGCCATAGCTTGACTATGAGGACCTTTGTCGGCAAAGTGATGTCTCTGCTTTTTAATGTGCTGTCTAGGTTTTTCATAGCTTTTCTTCCAAGCAGCAAGCGTCTTAATTTCATGGCTGCAGTCACCATCTGCAGTGATTTTGGGGCCCACGAAAATGAAATCTGTCACTGCTTCCTCTTTTCCCCCTTCTGTTTGCCCTGAAGTGGTGAATCAGTAGGGTAACCACCACAACAATCAAAGAATATCCCTGTGACTTCTGAAAGTCCTTTTCCCCACCCAGCAGTTTTCTTGATTTACAAAGTTTAAGCAGAATCTATGAACTCCTTCCTCTTACCATGATTCTGTGATTTTTAGAGGTAGTTGGGCACATCCCTGTGTTCTTCTCTAGGTTGGATCTGGCCGGAGTGTATGTTCTTTAGTTAGAGTGTAGGGCAGAGGTCGGTCCAGGGCAGAGAGGACAAGACGAACAGAGTGTAGCCCCCCGCTGCAGGCTGAAGGCCTGCAGGAGGCTGCGCAGTGGTAAACACCGTGTGCTGCGGCGCGGGCGCCCCCTGGCGACCGAAGGGCCTCATTACTCCGGTGCCGGAAAGGGCCCTGGTGGGGCGTTGAGGGGAGGGGCGCGTCTGCGCGCCTGGAACTGGGGAGTCACCCCACTGTGTGCCGGGCAGCGGGCAGCGGGGCTAGACGTACAGACTCAATTATTGTGCACCTGCTCTGTTCCAGTACACTGAAATATGTTAATATATTTAAAAAAATGGAAACACAGATGTGCGGAAAAGTTCAATAGAAAGAACTGGTTTTGTTTTCTGAGCCATGTGAAAGTAAGTTGTCAACCTGAACACCCTCTTTCTCTTTCCGCGATACTTTTGTGTATAAACAGCGGCCTTGTCCAGAGCCCAGATGTTAGGTAGGATCCTCCTGTCCCGTTCAGGGTTCTCTGTCCTGATGAGGTCCTTCCGAGCAGAAGGACCCTAGTCAGCATCGTGTGAAGCACATACTTGTCACGCCCCTCTTCTGGAAGGAGCCTTGGTCCTACCCTGACTTGTGCGGCTGACATTCCCGGGGATCGCGGGGCATTGGTGTTGCACGGTGGCGTTCTGTGGATGTCTCCGTCCGATGTTGGCGGGTTTGTCACATGAAGGATGCTGTGTTTCATTACATCTCATCAGGTGCTGTGGGCATGGATTTGGGGGTGTACATGCATCACTCGGGGCCAATCCCGAGGGATGCTCAGTCCCCTAGGAGGTCGCCCGTGGACCTCTGTGCGCCAGTGTGAGAGTGGTCCCCTCTCTCTCCCCTCACTCTCCTGGGACGCTCACTTGTCCTGGTGGGTTTGGCACCACCTGGCAGCCACTGCCATCTGGAGTCCGGGCCGCTGGCGTTCCCGGCAGATTTGTGTGTGTGTGTTGGGGGGTGGTGCTGGGAAGGGCGCCAGGGGTGGCGAGAGTGGGTCCCCTCCACTATCTGGGCGCTAGGAACACCTTGGGGAGGGCGCCTGGGCCAGCTGCTTCCCCTGGAGACCCTGGCTGTGCAGGTGTATCCTTTGCAAACGTTTATGTCTGTTATTTCCTCTGTGTATCTGGAAAGTCACGTGTCTCCAATTTTAATCTACCCCTGCAGGACTCATTCTAGTTCTCTATGGATTTGTATTTCTCACTCCCTTTTCTAACAGTGAGGACACTGCTACCATTATCCTCAGTAGGTTTACTTGACTAGCTCAATGCTTTGTAAATGATCCTCGGTCTCCAGCACCATCCCATCCCTCTCTGGGGCTCTGACACCATGATAGGCTGGGTTGCTTCTTCCTGTCATGTATGCCCCCCTCACCTGCTCATGCCAGGCAGCTCCTCTGTAGGAGTGCTGTCTTCACCAGCCACCACTTCATCCCTGACACCAGCATCCACCTTTGCCCTAATTGAGGACAGAATTGAATTCTTAAGGGTGGGAAGAGGATGCGGGATCCTTGCTGCCTGAGTGCAGCTCTGAGGGTGGAATCAGTGTTCACTCTGTAATCACAGTTTTACAGTAAAATTGAAGGCTGTGTACACTTGTGCTGTAGCAGTGGAAGGAAAGGCATAGTTGTCAGGAGACTTGCCTGCAAGGAGTCTTTATCTGTGTGGTGATTGTGGGCAGCATGCCCAGGACATGCAGCAGAGCTAGGCTGTGGCGGTAAACGGCAGCTCGCCCAGGGGCAGGAGGCAGCAAGCCTATAGGATGGAGGAGGAGGTGGGTGACAAGGCCCTGACCCCACTGTTTCCTCTCCCAGATGTCCCGGGTGCTGCAGAAGGATGCAGAGCAGGAGTCCCAGATGCGAGCCGAGATCCAGGGCATGAAGCAGGAGCTCTCCACCGTCAACATGATGGATGAGTTCGCCAGATATGCCAGGCTGGAGAGGAGGATCAACAAGATGACGGATAAACTCAAAACTCATGGTACTGTGCTCAGCTGTAGCCTGGAAAGCTTTGTAAGAGCTGATTCACAGAGAAGCCTTTATATGAAGATGCATGGTGTACACCCTTTGAGCTTCAATGTTCTGATGTTGATGGAGAGTTTTAAGTTGTCTGGAAGAGACCCGACAATAATTCTTATTTTCTTCTTAGTTTGCTGGTGAACCTTTGCTTTCTAAACACAGAAACCTGGGAATTCCCTGGTGGTCCAGTGGTTGGGACTCTGTGCTTTCACTGCCAGGGGCCCATGTTCCATCGCTGGTCTGGAAACTAAGATCACGCAAGCCTCGCGGTGTGGCCAAAAAATTTTTTTTAAAAACTCAAAAAACCACACAAAAAAACCCACACAGAAAGCTCTAACATCCTGTTAGATTTTCTTCATTCTCTGTAGGCTGATATTCTCAAATTCACTTTTCTAAGAGAAGCCCAGGAAAATCTTCTAGTGTGAACACTCTGTAAGAATTGCCTAGGAGTCTCCTTATCTGAGTGTTGACTTCAGGGTGGGGATCAGGTCTTACTCAGCCACTGTTCCTAACTCTCCCATGGGATGGAGAGGAGGTCAGCCTGCGTGCCAAGAGTGTGCGTGGCTTGTAAAACACGCCGAGGGGGCCTCCCCAGGCCTGAGACAAATTAGACTATGGATTAGTGTCCTGTGTGGGCTGGGAAGTCTGGAAAGAAAGTATGGTTCTGTTGGTTAAGTGTGTTGTAAAATGAATCTCTGATTTAGATGAATAGTTTTAAGAGTTTTTAAAATTAAAGCTTCATATCTTATAATCTGTGTGTGATTTTAAATAATGGTATAGTGGATGATTTTTAAATTCCATTTTATATTTTCTAAGTGTGTTGAGCAAATGTTGCAATACATAGTTAGAAAATATTTAATGAGAGGAAAAAACATTTCTGTGTTCTTGAATATTTTCTTCATTTTTTTTTTTTTTTAGGACTGATATCATTTGTTTTTCCTTTCAGTGAAAGCACGGACAGCTCAATTGGCCAAGATAAAATGGGTTGTAAGTGTTGCCTTCTACATATTGCAAGTAAGTGTCCTGTTGTGTCACCTGGGGTCTTTGAAGTCTTCCAAAACCATGTGACCCAGAATCCAGGCCTGGGGATTCAGGCTTTCCCACTTTCAGCTGCTGGCTGGTCCTGCTAGTGTGTGACTCTGAACACTGAATTTTTGTTAGACTTAAAAAAAAACCCCTTTCTTCCTCGTAGTCTCTTTTAGCTTTTCTTTTTGTTGTTGTTCAGTCACTAAGCTGTGTCTGACTCTTTGCAACCCCATGGACTGCAGCATGCCAGGCTTCCCTGTCCTTTACTATTTTACAGAGTTTGCTCAAACTCATGTCCATTGAGTCAGTGATGCCATCCAACTGTCTTATCCTCTTCTGTTCTCCTCCTGCCTTTAGTCTTTCCCAGCATCAGGGTCTTTTCCAGTGAGTCAGCTCTTCACATCAGGTGACCCAAGTACTGGAGTTTCAGCTTCAGCATCAGTCCTTCCGGTGAATATTCAGGGTTGTTTTCCTTTAAGGTTGACTGGTGGTTTGATCTCCTTGCTGTCCAAGGGACTCTCAAGATCTCCAGCACTACAGTTGGAAAACATCAATTCTTCAGTGCTCCACCTTCTTTATAGTCCAACTTTCATATCTGTACCTGACTACTGGAAAACCATAGCTTTAATTATACAGACCTTTGTCAGCAAAGTGATGCCTCTGCTTTTTAATATGCTGTCTAGGTTTGTCATAGGTTTCTTTCCAGGAGCAAGCACCTTTTAATTTCGTGGCTGCAGTCACCGTCCGCAGTGATTCTGGAGCCCAAGAAAATAAAATCTGTCACTCTTTCCACTTTTTCTGCATGTATTTGCCATGAAGTGATGGGACAAGATGCCATGATCTTAGTTTTTTGAATGTTGAGTTTCAAGCTAGCATTTTCACTCTCCTCTTTCACCCTCATCAAGAAGCTCCTTAGTTCCTCTTTGCTTTCTGCCATTAGAGTGGTGTTATCTGCATATCTGAGGTTGTTGATATTTTTCCTGGCTACTCCCTCCAGTATTCTTGCCCAGAGAATTCCATGGACAGAGGAACCTGGAGGGCTACAGTTCATGGGATCTGTAGTCAGACGTGACTGAGCTTTTCTCTTTAAGAGTTGTTAAGCATTGGAATTTTTTTAGCACATGAGCTTCTCTGGGGTTCTTTCATGTTGCAGTGTTGGGAGCCTGGGGGATCAAGTCAGAGAGCTTATTATTTTTTCATCTTCCTATTTGCTTTTATTTATTTTTTTATTGACAGATAATTACTTTACAATGTTGTGGTGGTCTCTGCCATACATCAGTGCAAATCAGTCATAATTATATAAATATATCTTCTTCCTTTTGAGCCTCCATTCCACCCCTCTAGGTCATCACAGAGTCCCACACTGGGCTCCTTGGGCTACATAGCAGCTCCTCACTAGCTGTCTGTTTTACACATAATAGTGTATCTATGTCAGTGCTGCTCTCTCTTTTCCACCCTCTTGTTCCCCTGCTGTGTCTACCAGTCCTTTCTCTGTGTCTGAATCTTTATTTCTTCTCTGTAATAGCTTCATCAGTACTATTTTTTCTAGATTCCACATACATGCGTTAATATTTGATATTTATTTTTCTCTTTCTGACTTACTTCGTATAACAGGCTCTAGGTTCATCCACCTCACTACAACTGACTCACATTCGTTCCTTTTTATGGCTGAATAATATTTCATTGTGTATATGAACCACCGCTTCTTTATTTCATTCATCGGTCGATCGACATCTAGGTTGCTTCCATGTCCTGGCTGTTGTAAACAGTACTGCAGTGAACATTGGCGTGTGTGTGTGTCTTTCTGAATTGTGGTTTCTCCGAGTTTATGCCCAGCAGTGGGATTGCTGAGTCATATGGTAGTTTTATTCCTAGTCTCCAAACTGTTCTCCCTAGTGGCTGTACCAATTTACATTTGCACCAGCAGTGCAGTAGGGTTCCATTTTCTCTACATCCTCTCCAGCATTTATTGTCTGTTGCTACTGTTGTTTAGTCACCAAGTCGTGTTTACTGCCAAGTCTTTTGCGACCCCATGGACTGGAGCCCGCCAGACTCCTCTGTCCATGGAATTTTCCAGGCAAGGACACTGGCATGGGTAGCCATTTCCTTCTCCAGGGGATCTGACTGAGGGATCAGATTTGCCCTTCCTGCATTGACTGGCAGATTCTTTACCGTCTGAGCCACCTAGAGAATCCCTTTATTGTTTGCAGTTGATAGCTTACTTAGACGTTATATTTTCTAAGGTGGTCAGTGATGTGGTGGTTGCTTGTCAGGCGTGTAGATGACGAGTGGCTGTCCGTTCCAGTCAGGGGACACCATATTCTCACCCACGTCCAGCACCATTGCTTCCCAACTTTCTCACCTGGTGGATTTTGCCTTGTTTCATTTCTTGCCTCGGCTCCTCTCCGTCTACCCTGAGGTTGTGGATGGGCTGCACAAGAGGCTGGAAGCTGCTCCAAGTGCTCTCCGAGTGTCGGTGCTGGGAGCCCTGTCTCCACAGTCCCGGTGGTCTGGGGCGTGTGAGGACCCTGATCCTAGGGCAGTGTCACTTTGCTACAAGAGAGGAGTCACAGGGGCAGGAGTTGCAAGAGCCACCGTCTTAGGTCTGGTCACCTGGGTGGCATTTTCAAGACCATGGAAGGGACGGAAGACAGCGGACAGAACGCTGCTGGGAAAGGAGGAGCCGCTGAACTTCACAGAGGGCTGACTGCTGCGCTTGGTTTGGGGATGGGAGGACTAGCTAGTTTTCTCAATGGTACGAGAACCATCACTTTTGTCACCAACGAGGTGTATTTAGCATAAGCTGGCCACTTCGAGGAGTTGCTTAATGGGAAGAGAACACGTACACTGTGGGAGACCTTGGATAACGGATCCGCTAATGTAACCATGTGTGTGGATTGTGAGGACTGGATTGGCCGGGTGTGAGGTCACTGATTGGGAGGGTTTCCTTAGTTTGTCTTCCTGTTTTCTTGTCTTCCGTGGTGGTGGGTATTCACTTTAGAAAGAATTTTTTTCGGATGTTAAAATCAGTCCATGTCATGGGAGTCCCCTGGCAGTCCAGTGATTAGGAATCTGTGCTTCCACTACTTGGGGCTCAGGTTCAATCCCTGGCTGGGAAACTAAGATCCTACATGCCGCGTGGCATGGCCAAAAAAAGAAAAATTAGTGAATGTGTTTGTAGAATGAATAGAAATATCAGAAAAAAAATTTTTTAAAGACTCATAGCTATGAATATCCCTCTTAACATTGTGTGTATTTTTTCCAGTCTTCTTTCCTATACATTTTTATACAGTAAAGGGTATTTGGCACATGCGAGCTTTTACCCTTCCTATTGTTTAAGCCTTTCCCCGCACCGGGCTTCCTAGTGGCTCAGGCAGTAAAGAACCTGCCTGCTGTGTGGGAGACCTGGGTTTGATCCCTGGGTTGGGAAGGTCCCCTGGAGAAGGGAATGGCCACCCACTCCAGTATTCTGGCCTGGAGAATTCCGTGGACTCTATAGTCCATGGGGTCACAAAGAGTTGGACACAACTGAGTGACTTTCACTTTCCACATGATTCAATTTCTTCACATTAGGAGACTGAAATGCTGCTGATTATGCTGAGAGGGCAGCTTACTAAATTTCTTTTTATTTTTTTACTGCTATGTTTATTCATTGAAAAGAAGTACATATAAAAGTGTACACATCTGAACATTCAGCTCCACGTATAGAAGGACGATGGGCCAGTCTGCGTACAACCTGTCTATAGAATTTGGTCATTTGATGTGCTTTTCCTTACTGTTTCTCCTTCAGTCTTATTTCTTTTTTTTCCCATTTATTTTTATTAGTTGGAGGCTAATTACTTTACAGTATTGTAGTGGTTTTTGCCATACATTGACATGAATCAGCCATGGTACTAAATTTCTTTATGAAGGAACTTTGAGTAGCTGTTCCTCATTTAGGTGTGTTATAATTTATTAATTTCCCTGCTAAAGGACATTTGTTTGAGTCCTGATTGTTGCTGTGGAGTAGCCGCTGTAGGACACGTGCTGCTCGGCCAGTCTCTGGCTATGATTTGTGGTCACACTGGAGGTGAATTACTGCATCAGCTTAGCCAACCCCCTTCCTTCCCCTCCTCTTCCCCCTTTCTGGTTTCAACCAGGAGGGCACGGCCGGTGATTCTCAGTGGTCCTGAGCCAAGGAGCTAAGAGGCCACCCTTCCAGGCATCTTGTGGCCTGCCATCCTGTCTCAGCCATCAGTGGGGCAGGGAAGGCCCGGGAAAACATTGCTCCGTGTTTGTAACGCTTTTGTGAGAAGGGAAAGACAAGTGGTCTGAGAGGGTGGTCCTACAGTCAGTTAATATCATAAATAATAATTCACAGATCTCAGGCAGGAGAGAGAAATACAAATCATTGTTTATTCTTCTGAATAATTCCTGCAGGTCCGTGAATCAGTAGAAAGCATGATCAGTGTGAACCCACAGAACACAAACTTAGACCTAGCCCAGCCTGACTCAGAGAGGACTGGCATGCTCCATTTCCCAGAAGTCAAAGGCAGCAGGGGCAGGAAATGTGGGTGGCACTCCTGCATGCTCTCATGTTGAATTTCTTTGTTTTTAGGTGGTGTTGGAATTACCTGTTGGATTTTAGTCTGTAACAAGGTCGTGGCTATTGTGCTTCACCCTTTTAGCTGAAAACGAAGATGAATTCAACTACAGCACTTTCAAAAATGAATTTTCACTTGGGAGGTTACAAGTCTGCTTTATACTTTTTTTTTTTCTTTAAAGAAACACAAAGCCACAGATTAGCTGTTGTTGAACAGGTTTGTTCTTGGACTTCATGTCGAGATTCTTAGAAGAATCACAATTTTCTATACTTGTCATGGGCCGTGAAGGTCAGTCTCACACGTGTGCACTGGCCACCGTGGCACCAGATGTGTGATGAGAAGTATGTGACGTTATGGGCTACACATTGTTACTTGTGATCTGCACGCGTGACATGTTTTAAAGGTCATCTCGCCAACTGGAAAGTCAGACTTTTCTAATAACGTAAGTGCTTTAAAGAGTTGGAGCTATTTTTAATCCCGATTACCAAGTAGCTTAATTTTAATACCACTACTAGACTTTGAAAATTTGTGTTTTAGTTTCATGCAGTAGTACCGGGAGAGTAACACTGACAGTGCTCTTTTC